CAACTTTCGAAGATTTGCTTTGACTAAGTACACATAAATCGGCATGTTTAATGCATCACACCGCCTCTATCATTTACAATAACTCTAATTGGGGCACCGGTCTGTATGACCTTTGGTCGGACCATACGCATTTTGGGTTCATTTTCCATTCTTACAGCAAATCCTTAAGTCTGACCTTAAAGCCTTCTGTCGTGTCCCTGAGTATAGACATAAGACCGAGATGTTATGGCCTCTGGTATGGTCGCAGTCTCCTTTCGATTTATATAAATGGGTTGACCTCTTTGTCGCAACTTGGTCTTGTTGTCAGGGCGATGTACCAAGTCCACTGTCTGATACTGGGAATCATGACAACTACTTTGGCAGAAGACTTCGAACTATTTGTGTTCTACATAGTCGCCCTGACAACAAGACCAAGTTGCGACAACGAGGTCAACCCATTTCCCTGATGATAGTTTCACATGTTGTATCATCGTCAAACGCTGCTGACATTTCCTCTACATGCTCACTCCTATCCGCAACTACTACTGCTGCTCCTTTGTCTGCTCTCGATACCAATTGGTCATCCGCCCCTTGACACTTGCTCATAAAAGTATCAACTGTCTTATCCTCGTGTTGTGCTGCTGCATGGCCGTCGAGGAGAGGGACAACTTGCAAGTCAACTTCGCTTCCAGCATCAATTCCGACAAAATGTTCTTCGTCAAGTCCCTACCATTTGGAAATGAAAAGTTCAAGCCTTTTAACAGCATCTCCTCACTGGAAAGGTCCAATGAGGTTGTGGGCAGATGTCCCACTTTTTTCCATCGGCTTTCTCTCTCCTCACTCACTTTCATTATGCACTGTTTCCTTGAACAAATTCTTATACCCAAATTGCTTAATCTCTTGTCATCTTTCCTGTTTGGCCGCCTCAAAGTTTCGTCATGCAATTTATGCGTATTCATTAGAGCTCAGGGAAGTAGTCCCAACAAAAAAAGGCACCGACAAGGATTGCCTAAGTCTGGCCTTAATTCCAATTAATTGGTGCAGTCTGCCGAGGTTTTCCCAAAGTCGAATATCGTTAAAATCATGGCATACATTCTAAAGATCAAGCTTAGGTTTAGAGGGTAAATGCCGTCTAGAAATGACACAAAATTTAGATAGAATTTTACAGGAAATGCAAACTTTCAAACAACAAATATGATT